ATGAAGACAGTTGTCACCATGGTCATGATCATCAATGTCAGAAAGAAATAGATTTAACCCATACATTTAAATGTTGTATTGTCTCACTAGTGTGAGAAACTGCAGTAGCAAATAAGGTCCAAAATGTACAACAGATACTGTGACCTGGGAAGAAACTGTTCAAAAGAAAAGACAAACTATGATGGGAGAAAGGAAAGCAGGAAAAATGAAAAAAAAATATGTCTATATACAAGATAGTTAAGATAGTTATACTGCTAGTTTCTCTTAGTTAACTGAAAAGAAAGGTTTATGCTAATATTGTCTGGACAAGGTATCATGCTTATATCTTGCAGGCTGAGTAACAATGAAGACAACAACATGCAATGTATTAATTATTGTAAGTCTCCTACTATCCTGCCTTGAAACTCTGTTTTAGTGTTTTTATGTTTTTTCTCTTTCAAATAAAAAATAGAGATAAAAATACATGAAATTTCCAACAAGGGGAAGATATCATCTAACCGTTGGCATGGACCTGAGATAAAACTCAAGCAAATTTAGGCCATGCAGACAGGAGAGGAAGTGGGGAGAAATATTTCAGTCAGGTGTATCTTGAACAAAAGTACACTTTGGTCCAAACTCCAAAGCTTCCATTCTGCTTCCCAGTCTGATTAAACGTCACTTTCTTTTCTAGCACTCTGGGGCGCTCTGAAACACCACAGGTTTGGTCTGTACACATGGACGCGGGTTGACATGAGATTCTAAGAGCCAAAGGCTGTGACCCTCCCTCAGCCTTCTGGATGGTCTGCTTATCGCCCTTTCCCCGTAGGATCTCAGATCTCTTTCTGCAATGACAATTTTAGAAACATAGCTGTCGGGAGTGGCTGGGCCTCAAGAGAAATGACATGGTAACCAAGGGGCACAGGATAGACGAAAAACAAATGAGGACCACATTCAATGTGAGCTCAGCTTAGACGCCCAAGTGAATGGATTCTAAGCAGAATGTGTAGGGAAGGCAAAACCATGCCCCAGTGGTATCCAGGTATGCACGTATTCTTACCTTGTGCTCCTGTGAAAGAAACAGGGAGCTGGATTTGAAAACCAAAAAAGGTAAATTCCTGAAAGGAGACTGTGCTTTCCCCTTGCAGACAAACCATGTTATGCACTGCTTCTCTCATCAGCAAGAGTCTGGCTTTAACGTTTTTAAAAGGAGCCTGCTGGGCAATTAATGGACTACAGCAGCAGTCTGTAGTGGTCCCTGGGAAGACATCAGCCATCCTACTTATAAGACATGAGATGTGGCAAACTGTGGTCCTTTTTAGTTTTTCTCTCTTCTGGCAAGAGAATGAGAAGGAAAGGAAGTCGGGCTGAAGGTTCTGCCTCAAAGACTCTTCACTCTCCCTTCTTCAATCTTCTTCTCATTTCTCCAGTCAGCCAACCACATATGCATCTATTTATTATGCATTTAATAAAAGAAACTGTGGCAAGTAGTTTGATCTTCCCAACCTTGACCCAAAGTGTCCAACTTCCCAGGTGTAAAAATTGTCTCTATCATCTTTGGTCTATATGCTCTTCAAATAATTTTTGCTTTGCTGTTCTAAATCATATAGAAAGAGTCAACGTAGGTCAATCTCAATCAAGAAGCTGATCTCCAGGATATTTTCACTGTCATTGTTGAAAAGTGCCGTTTTTTTTATGTACAAAAGTCCAGCCCAGACTGACACAGTGCCTGGGATTCTGCCTATTCTAATATTGTGCGAAATGTTGCTGAGATCCATATTCCAAAAATTTCTATGACTAATTTTGTAATTTTGGACATTTTATTCCTTTATGCCTTAAAATGGAGTTAATTTTCCACATAATATTTACATCAGTACCAGTTGCAAGTCAGCCAATATTGTATCTCAATAAACTGAGCTAAGTAGGTTTGGAGTTTGACTGCTAGGAAACTCTGCTATCAAATCCAGCTAGGAAGAATAGTCAAATAGTTGAACGGTTGGAAGTCAAAGAAACTTCTCACTTTCTCCAAGTGGTCCAAGGTAAGACTTAATTTTTCCTGGAACAGCCATTCTTTTTGTCATCTTGGTAACCTTACATCATGTTTTCCCAGGCTACAGAGGGCTCTCCCTCAAATTTCAGTGTGCTTATGTGGGTGCTCAGACTCTTACACATCCCTTCTGCCAGCACTTTATCCCAGGAGGCTGAATCCTGCTCTCAAACTCCTAACTGTGAACAAACTGTGGACACAAATGGGAAGTTTTTCAGGTCTTCCCAGCTTTGCATCATTTCTTGGCATCTAGAGCTTACATGAGTGGGTGAATCCCCCACACTATCAGAAATAAACTTTCAACATGAAACTGGAGAAGCACAGCAGCTTTGAGATGAGCTCACTAAGTTAATTTCACGAACAAGCTATTGGCCAAACTAGTCTTGCTTACTTATCTATATTTCTAGATGGTATTTTTCAACTTGTTCCCAACCCTAAAGCACTTCTCCACACAAGAGGGCTTCTTAAAATATCAATTAAGATTTCAAATCCACCCAAATAACCAGTCACACTTGAAGTATAACGTAACAATACATTAAATTTTTTAAAAAGGTACAGATAATAACCGACAAAAGACAGCAATGGGCGGAAGAGGGATGAAATGGAAATGGTCTCCAGAACTGGAGAACCAGAGAAATGGGACTGGTTTACTTTCCATTTTGATCTAGAATGCTCTCTTCCAATAGAAGCTTTTTTTGAACAGTTATAGTATTTTCTCATAAATCAAGTTGCTATGCAGCATAATATGCTTCCTGAAGGTAATATTGATTCAGAATCTGAGTATGTTGTAAAGTGAAGCTTATATCACAAAAGATGGACTACTCATAACCTTTCCAACACCAAGGTCAGTATGTAGGTCAGCTCAGTAGTTTCAGCCAATAAACCCGAAGAGAAGTAGCTCCACTTAACCTGGAAGAGGAGTATGAGGTCCACCCTGCCACAGAACAGGCTCGCCACTGAATTAATTAAACCTCACACATCTCTCAGTGGTCCTACTGTCTTCCCAGAACCCTCTAAAGTATCATAAATGATTCACCCTGACTTCCATGTTGCACCTCCACAGCCCATATTAACAATGACTTTTAAATTTTCATTTGCTTAAGGCAATGAAATTCTTAAAAACAAAATTCTATACAATTCTAATTTTATAAAACATGAAATCCTGTAGGAAGAATGGCTAACCCTATATTCAGGGGCCCACCCAAGAATCTCCAGGAAATGAGAGGATGCATTTGGAAACCTTTGTTCTTTGTTCATCATGCAATTGGCATTCTCGGTGCCCTTGGCATTTTCCCTCCTTGGTGTTTGGTGCTTGGAAACATTTATTGAGTCTAGCCTGCTCCAGCCTTTGAGATCCTGCTCAAAAAATGCTTCCTCCATAAAATACTTTGCATCATTCTGGCAAGACACAATTCACCCCTGCTTTGAATTCCTAGATAACTTTGGTTGTTAATCATCAAAATGAATAAAGGTAAAAGCAACAGCTTACTCTGTGCCAGCAACTACTCCAAGTGCATTGCCGAATTAACCTAAACTTCTCTTACAGGTGCTTCAGCATCTCCGAGGTACATGAAGTTTAAATCTGTTTTCCAGGTCTATAGAGTGAGTATCAGAACAAGAATGAAATCCATGATCTGGCTTTCATAAATTAAAATGAAACAGAGTCCAGATGCTTAAATATACCCTGGAGCCTCTCTACATAAGCCTTGGCTATGCTTTAGATCAAGCTCCACCCTGAACTCTGAAGGTGGGGGCAGGGCTGTCGGAAGGTAATAGGACTGGGAGCATAAGGCTAACTTGCACTCTGAAGGTGCGGACTGCTTGGAGGTGGTAGTGAGACCTAGAAGGGTCTGTCTGTCTCTCCGGCTCTTCCTTTCCCTCTGCTTCCTGACCGCCAGAACATGAGCAGTCTCTCTCCCTAGACTCCGCCACCATGCCACTTCTGTTCTAGAGCCAGCAGGCTATGGGCTGCATGCATGAGCCAAAATAAACCTTTTCTTCGTTACATTGTGGGTGTCAGGCATCCTGTATCAGCAATGACACAGTGACTATGACAGCACTTTTTACTTTAGTTCTTTTTTTACTTTTGAGACAGAGTTTCATTATGCAGTCCCTAGCTGTCCTTTAACTCATTTGCCTAGCTGACCTTTAACTCATTTTGCAGCCCAGGCTGGCCTCGAATTTATAGATACTCCTGCCTCAGCTTCCCAAGTGCTGGGATTACAGGTACACCCCAGCCGGCTTGTGCTTTAGTTTTTAAGACACCTTCCATTACTCATTTTCTCAGCTCCATAGCCCCAATACCACTGATACCTTCAAACTTTCCCACACCGTAAGCAGATCATAAATTTGTTAAAACAGTAATTCTTTCTACTAGCATTTATATTTCATGAAACACCAGTTTCTGCACAAATAAGTACCCAATAAATATTGTTATTTAATTAATCACTAATAAATACAATAATTTATAAATGCATGGGACAACTGGCTTTTTCTCTGTAACATTTCCAGCCTTAAAGGAAGTATTTCCCATTCTGTTTAATAAGCAAAGAGGTATAACCAAATTGAGGTTACCTTCCTTGCTATGCATGGCCCAGCATAACTGCAAAATCCCTGATATTTCCCTTGCATCATATTCAAAAGAATTGTGTAAGATTATATGAAAACAGACCTTTGCATGAAGCCTAAAATAAAGGTTATTTATAAGTGTAAGGTCATTTTCAAGAAATCGGTTAAGATGAGGCCTGCTATCCAGTGAGATGTGTCTGGTGACTCTGTCCATTTTGCCCCAGGAACTAAGTAGGAAACTAACTGTATTCTGTTGCCTAGCTGCGTTCTCCTTAGCGCAGAAACATATAGCTAGCGAACATCCAGAATTGCTGCTCAGTGTATGATTAACAAGGGAAACACCCGGACCTGATTCAAGGTCAGAAACACAAAGGGGACCCTTAGGAGGCCTTGGGATGTGGGAACTGACCTGCCGTTAAGTGTGCTGCATGGACCAGAACTTGCACCCCGGGCTTCAGCTCAAAGTGCACTGCGTTTTGGTTGAGCTTGTGAATCAGCACTTCTGATATCTGAAAGAAGAAGTTGTATGGTTAGGGCTGCCAAAATATTCAGAGACACTACGAACAAACTGGCTGAGAAATACTTAACCAATTAGCGCGGCATGGCCTCCAGTACCTGTGCTATGTCCATGAGCTACACAAGTAGCAGACACATAATTCATAGGTTTAGCTATACAATTAATATATGCTGTATATTGTGTAGCTTAATATATTTATATTGTCTGGTGTAATAGAATATGTAACATTTTATTAATATGATAATTAATTAATTATATAATATATAACTATATGGTTTTATCTGTAAATTATGTAAATGAATTTTATATGACTTGATTTCTTTATTCCGGAGGACATGTATATTTTCAAGCACAGCCTGACTTACACGTTAATCACTGCACAGGAAGACAAACTGTTAGTCAACAGGATATAAGATAATTTCTGATTATAAAAATATCCTGTTTAGATTCCTGAGAACATGGCGGACAGACAACAGCAACTGCTGAACGCTCTCTAAAGGCTCGGCTCAGAGGCCAGGAATGATGCGGACTAAGGAGATACGAACCAGTAGAGATATGCTCTGCTGACTCAGGAACGAACTGGGCTGAGAGAATCCAACTTGGAATACAGCCCTGGCGCTAAAATAGGAACAGAAAAATCTCGGTGTGGAGACTCGACTCCGCGCCATCGGAAACCGCGGTTTGGATTTCCCGCCGCGCGGCGGCCGGCCACCTCCACAGCGGCTCGGCAAGGAGAGACGCGACCCCCGAGCTCTGGGAACGGGCGACTGGGAACGGTCTCGGAAACGCGACGGGCAGGAAGGAAGGCTGACTGGTGGCGAGGTGAGCGAGGAACTGACTCCCTACCGCAGTCTGACTCCAGCGGAGGATTTTCTGGGCGCGGGCAGTCCTGTAAGAGCAGGGCGCGGTGGCAACTGCAGCCGCACGGTTCCCTCTCGGACGGGATTGGTGAAAGGTGCCTGGCCAGAGGGACGCTGCTCGCGGACCCCCTAGGCTGGCCTAGCCCAGATCCCAGAGCCTGACGGTGGCCCGGAGGAGCCACCGACTTCCGCGTAGGCTGCCTCCTCCTCAACTCCCTGGGGCGCAGCGGTGGGCGGAAACAACTAGCCAGCGCAATTTGATCAAGCTGTAGCTGACAGGCAGGGAAGCCGGGCCTCCTGTGTAAGATTACATTTTATAAGGAACAGAAAATATGGGGAAGGGAAGCAACAAAAAAGGCTCCTCGACCCCCAATCCTGAGAATCAGGCAATAGTGGACACTGTACCAATATACATTAAGCGCCATTTAGAGAGCCTCATAGACCAATTCAGGAATGAAGTTATCAATGACCTGAAGCTAGAAATATGCAGAATAGTTAGAGAAATGCTAAGCACCACCCAGGAAAAAGCAGATGGTGGAGTGGAAGAACAGAAAAAGAGGGGAGAATTGCTTGATGGAGAAAACAGAGAAAGCATGGAGTATGTGAAGCAGGTGCAAAGGGACTATCAAGAAATCAAGAAATATACCCAAGACTGGCATAACAGCTTGAAAGAAACTAAGGACAGACTATCTGAATTGGAGGGCAGACTTGAAACATGGGAGAATGAAATGAAAAACTTCTTAAAAATAATAAAGAAACACACAGCAATAATACAAAGACAAGAAGATGATAAGAGGAGCCATAACTTAAGGATTAAGAACATAAAAGAAGAAGTAGGGACACAAACAAGTGAACTACAAAAGCTACTCACAGAAATAATCCAGGAGAATTTTCCTAATTTAGCAAAAGGTAAAGATACTCAAATGTATGAGGCATACAGGACCCCAGCTACCTACAACCCTAACAGAGAAACACCCAGGCATATAATAATAAAAATTCCAGAAATTCAATACAAGAACAGAATATTAAAAGCTGTAAGAGACAAGAAACAGATCACTTACAAGGGAACACCCATCAAAATTACAGCAGATTTCTCTTCACAAACCATCAAATCACGAAGAGCATGGGGAGAAATAATTCAAGCTTTGAAAGATAATAATCTACAGCCAAGATTGAGATATCCTGCACAACTGTCCCTGGAAATTGATGGAAAAACGAGGTGCTTCCAAGATAAAGAGGAACTGGGGGAATTTGCAACCACCAATCCAACCCTACAGAAAGTATTGCAGGATATTCTAAAAAAAGAAAAATACAAAGAACCCAGAAATAGGAGCGGGGAGGCCACAACGAATAGAGCAGAGACCAAAACGAAGAAGACAAACTGACAGCTACTGACAGAAAAAGAGCTCAACAGAAATGAGACAGAGAAGATTGGATGATAGGAACAGCTTTTTTTGGAGAAAATGACATCTTAATAGGTAATGCTGATTTAGTACCATCTTGTTTTGAGGTCTCATCTAGCTTTTGTTCTTCTGTCTCCAATGGTCTAAACAGGTTGTATCTTATTGGATTTTACTATGTACGATGATATAAGAAAAAACCTTTTAAAGACAAGGAGATTATACAGAGACCATTGTTCATTTTCTGTTGGTCGATTCTAAATGCTCTGTAATGCTGTTATTCTCTTAAATGGTTATACATTGTTTTGATATACTTAATGCTACAGTGTATGAAGTTGTACTCAAGGACTTCAGGGAGGGAGTCAATATGGTAACTATTTTTGGGTCAGGATTAGCTGGTGGTGAAACACTGTTCTGCTTAAATGGTTATGTTTTGATCTGCCCTGTTTCGCTGTTATGCCCTCTTTTTTTCTCAATCTCCACTCCATTATTTACTTTTTTATTTTTACCCATTTAATTACAGGGAAAAATATAGCAGGATATAATATAGTAACCCACTTCGACTTTCTATTATCTCGATTTGAAGCCCTGTATTGCTCTCACCATCTTGTTTTTGACTGAGGTTCCTATATTCTGTTTTGCTGGATAGTATCAGGTTCGAAAGTTTAGGCATCAGCTGAGAAGATAATGAGATTCATTACAACGCCCATTCTCGTTAACTTTTATCTACTTTTGAAGACCTACAATGTCTCCAATGTTTTGGTTTTGTCGGTTTTATTCTTTACGGTTTTGTTCAATTGTATTACAACTAATGATATAGGCAATTCTATTAGAAATAGCGGGAGGCATTAGGGTAACCATTGTTGATCACCTTGTATTATGTTTTTATATTATCTATTATGTCCACCCTTTTGACTTGACCGATTCTGTTCTATTATGTCACATTTGGTTTTACTCTCTTCCAAAAAACCAACAAGAACCGTGGGAGCAATGAAACCCAAAATGTGTAATAGTCACTGTACAAAAGAGAGGAAAAGAAAGTGCTCTAAACTATATAACTGCATGTATATTTAAAAGTATAAGATAGAAAATGATATCACAGAGTTTTATTGGATCATTGAACAGAACTGTTTGCAGTATCATTGGTGGAATGTCCACTCTACAAGCTTTAATTTTGTGACTTGAACAATTATTTCTAAGATGGCAATATGTAATCCATTAACTAGTGATTTCCTACTGCGCATTTTTTTATTCTGTAAATCTGTATAACTTGTACCCCTTCACTGTTTTTTTTTCTTTCTTTTCTTTTCTCCTTAAATAAAAATTAAAAAAAAAAAAAAAAAAAGTCATGAACCTTTTCAGCAATACCCATCTTATTCCCACAGGAAGAACTGGGGTATTTAACCAGTGGCCTTAAGGAGTTTAGTAATAATACTCTTTGTACATATTTTCCAGCCATTTTTATTTCTACCCATGAAATGAAATCCATGGCTTTCTGGCCTTTTAAAAATTGTGTGGTTTTCTCTTATTAATTAATAGACATTTTTATATACATAAAACATAATTTTTTATTGATGTTGGTTTCAAATACGTTCTCTTTACTCTCTTAATGACATCTATAATGAAGTTTTAAATTTCATAAATATAAATGTATGAATATTTCTGTCATTTAAAACATCTGTGATTTATTAAAATTTTCCTTATGCAATTATCATAAAAATATTGCATTTTTAAATAAAATTTTAGGGTTTTGAAAAAAAAAAAAATATCCTGTTTAACCTTAGAAGTCACCTCAGTTTTTTAAGAAAGCATTTGTTATGCATTAATAGACTCAAAATAAAAACTGCTTTTAAAAGGTCTGGTCTTGGTGCTCAGTGAGAAGGCCCAGGGTTCTTTCTGAGGAGGAGGAGGAAGGGTTGAGAGGAGGAGGAGAAAAAGGAGGAGAAGGAGGAGGAGGAGGAGGAAGAGGAGGAGGAGGAAGAAGAGGAAGAGGAGGAGGAGGAAGAAGAAGAAGAAGAAAAGAAGAAGAAGAGGAATAGGAAGAGGAAGAAGAAGAAGAAGAAGAAGAAGAAGAAGAAGAAGAAGAAGAAGAAGAAGAAGAAGAAGAAGAAGAAGAAGAAGAAGAAGAAGACAGGCAATTCACCCTTCATACCTATGGTGAGATTTTTATTTATTGCTTTCCCTTTGCTGTCCCGCCCCATACCCTATAGGTTTCACAGACTTGGCACTTTATGCCTGTTACTGAATAGCAGATATTGTTCTGCTGAAATTCTGAAGGGCACAGTTAAGGCAAAGACAGCCACAGCTTCTGCAGGGACCCTAAGGACCGGCCTCACCCTGGCCCCGGGCATGCACCCAGCAACTAGGCCACTCTAGCCCAGTGCAGGCTCACAGAAGTCTGCTTTGTGGAATATTGACCCCAATCATGCAGCACAGAACCTGGATTTGAAATTATCACTGCAAGATCTTAAGACACTCTAAAAATTTGCTCACTGTTCAGAGGAGGAATTTGCTCTTTGCTCACATTTTAATTTTTTCAGAACACCAAGAAGGGTTAACTACACTCTTATTTTTCTAAAAACCTGGTACCCTTGTCTTACTATTTTATTATAATCGATTCTGTATTTCTTCCTCTTTTTCCTATTGAGTTTGTTGGTCCATTTTCTCTCCGAATCATAAGGTAACACCTCTGACGCCTCACAACTCAGCAGGCCCCATGGCTAAGTGTCCCC